TAGGATACATTTACTCGCAGTGGCGGGGACCCGAGCACTGGGTGGGGGGAGTGGGGAATATAGGCGAGAAACGACTGTGAATAGATTGGAACAGCAGTTACGGGTGTGGGGTGGAGGGAAAAAGGTTCGCCTAATGGATACATATATGTAAAATCGAAGAGCTTAAAACCGAGTGTTTGTTTCGTTTCCTCAGGAATCGAGGATAGGCAATATGGGGATGGGCATGTTGGCGCATAGGTAGGTTGCTACTTAGATAGATACGTGGGATTATACACGCTCGTATGTATACATGTGTATATGGGTATGCGTGGATACGAACTATGCCGGAACAATAACCCCACTATATTGAGAAGTGAACGGCACACGGTTTTTTGGGTGGGGTCGTGAGTGCACTACGGAGAGAGAGAGAGAGCGAACTAGCGAGAGCAAGAACGCACATCGTCCAGCTGGATTGTGGTCTACTCTTGCGTTTCACCTGGTTTCTCAAATAACATGTGCCTGTTTTCGACTGAACGTGTACACTCGGGGATATAATCATGCGAAATATACAATATGAATACATGCATGCACATATACACACACAAACGCACGCACACACGGGGATAGATGCCTGAGTAGTGAATGAAAAAGATGAGTCATACGTGGAATTCAATAAAACCGGTATTCCGTAACAATATCACAAATCATTCTTCACTCTGCCTTCTTCAAAAAAATTCTACTTGTTAGATGTGAGGCGAGAAATTTGTGCAGAATAAATCCATAGTAGTAGTAAATATAAATATGCGATAGCAGAAACGATTGGTGTCAACCAAAAAACATAATCCATGAAAAATATATCAATAAAAGCATAGTTATTTCGAACTTAACGACTTCTCAACCATTGGATAACTGTTACTGTATTAAAACATGCCCACCCAGTCGACTGATCGACTACTGACTGATTGACCGACTAACTGACTGACTGACTGCAGCTGACTGGCTGACTGACTGCAGCTGACTGACTAACTGCAGCTGACTGACTGAAAGAATGAAAGAATGAATGACTAGGACGGGGGATTTTCAGCATTTTTGACGTGATACATCGAAGAGGCGTATACTCAAGACGAGTAGGAGGTCAAAAGACAGTTGTTAGAAAAAAATGCAAAACAACACTAACTTGTTGTGTGATTTTTAAACTCATTAGTGACGGACACCCGATTTACTTAGATACGGGCAAGACTAAGGATGATGCCTTTGCGGTAAATGGTCGTACATCCAAAGAAAGGCTTTACTTTGGACGAGTACGCGGAGGAGGCAAGAATTTATAGAGATGGGCATGCAGATGATGTCCTTTACTGGGTAATACATGACAGGTGAGTAAATTTCGTGCATCAAAACGCTTGCACACAATAAAATCAGATAAGATATTTTTGAGAATATCACTGAAAGGCGGAAGAAGTTTAGAAGATCTGGAAAAGAGAATAAGGTATTTCTTCAATAGGACCGGGCAAAATTATGCAAAGCATTGCGCAACGGTGCAGAACAATACTGGCTATCACAAATTCAATGATTACATCTAGGAGAATGACTGCAACAAACACGTGGAAAGACAGTCTTCAGCTACTAGACTCGGTGCTTTCAGCATGATGGAACCAAGAAAGGTTACACAACAAGACAAATTTGAAGTATTTCACGCAGTTAGTTTTGAACATGATATCATTAATAAAAGAAAGTTCTGGTTGGCTATTAAAAGAGTCTAGCAATGGAAGCCTATATTAAGACAAGCATGAGAATCAGTTCATTTGTTCCCTTTAAGTATCACAGATCGAGATGCAGAATAACTAGAAATTTGATTTAAGCATTCTTGGAGTGGGTGGATACTGTTAAAACCAGTCGTGGTCGACTCAACTACTTAGCTTAGTTGCCTGCGGTAAAGTTTAGACGGCTGGAAAGTCTATTTATGCATAAGGAGAAAAAACGGCCCCCTGACAAAACCAGTAATTAGCATTTTTTTNTTTTTTTTTTTGGGGGGGGGAGGAGGTTGCCCGTGACAAAATGTCGGTGGTGTCCTAGGTGAAAAGTAATTTATAAGGACATTCAACGCATCACATCTCCCAGGCCGCAAGGAGAATGACCTTTAATGTGAAGGCCAAGGTAAATAATCCCATTGAATTATAAGCACTCAACCGATCCTTTGTACAATCATTCGTGATGGTCGGTGCCAATGGGAAAGATCTTTTGCACTCAGGTATACTTTNTATACTTTCAGAGAACACGTACAAGCTACACAACTCGGCAACAGGTGCTCAAGCTCTTCAAACACACATTCTCAACATGACAGAAGACATGGGGTAACATTTTTTCGCGGATGGAAATGAGGGTGATTTCGAGTTCGATATGGAGACACTACCAAACTGACAACTTAACACCTTGATCTCCGGCAAGGAGTTCTTACGTGCACCATAGAGCTGCTTCAATGCTGATCACATATCACGGCAGTTCTTGTTTCTAAGAAGAGTTTAAATATGCATTCTAATAAGGCATGGTATCTATATCTTGATGGAAACTGATGCGTGTTTCACGACACTGCACCTACCAATATAATGACCCTTTTCTTTAACCAGAATGAGGCCTTTCTTCTAGGGCTGAAAAAAATCTGGTGGTAAGAGTGCGTGAAGCATAAATCGAAATAATAGAAGTGTTCCTACCACTGTCGATTGACGAAAGTAACCATTCCACCAAATGTTTTTCGAAATTTCACATTTAGATCACCTCGTGAAATATTAAATTCATCCACGTTAGGATGAGGCCAACCTTCCTGGATTAGCATTACTCTCTTGACATAATCAAGTTTCCCCATGGACGAGTGAGTATTACACAAAATAGAAGATGAAACAGTCATTTTATTCACGGACAGTCACCTGAGTGAGACACGTTAACCGGCATAATGTTCAGTTTCGTATGGCGACTGTGAAAAGTTCAGTAGCCTCAGCTCAGATGGA